GGAGTCAAGCCCTGGCCTGTGGGATGAGGCCTAGGGACCATCCCTGGGGACAGAGGGCAGGGAGGGCAGGAAGCTGTCTGCTGGCCAGTTTGGCTGCGACACGCCCACCAGACTCAGATGAGGGGGGCTGGGACACCCGCCTCAGTGAGCGCTTTCCCTTTGCTGGACTCTCCTCCTAGCCCAAGCCGGTGTGACCAGAGGGGGCAGAGAAAGAGCTGGGGGCCGAAGCTGAGAGGTGGGGGAGGAGAAAGCCTTGGCAAGCTGCTGGGGAGGGGAGGGGTGGACCATGTGAGGAAGAGAAGGGGCCAGCTTGACAGGGAGAGTATGCCTTTGCAGATCCAGGTAGAGCTCTTAGGGGAGTGGAGACAGGGCACCCCTGAATGCCAGGCCCTGGAACAGCTCGGGCCCCTTTCTGTGGCTCTCAGGTAGGGGCCTGGTCTGGGCTGTTCTGTAGGGGCAGTGGGTGGTGGTTATGCAGGTGAGCTCCGCCTAGCCCTGAGGGAGGACCACACCTTCCCCTGTCTCCATTGCTGGGGTCCCCCACTCCAGGAACCTGAGGATCAGACCCCAGGTGAGGAGGCTGAGTCTTGCCCAGGGGTGTGTGTATGCACCCATGTCCTCCCTGACCCCTTAATAATTGCTCCCCTCCCATCCAGACCAACAGAAAGCATTGTTCCTGAGACCCTGTGAAGGAGGAGCAGTGGAAAGCTGCAAACTTCTGCCCTCAGAGACCAGGGTGTTTCCCCATCTCTCCTCCTCAAGAGAGAGGCACCCCTGGGCCATTTCCAGCCCCACTCCTCTCTGCCCCCGGGCTTGCCCTCCATCCCCTCCGAGGGTCCCCTAGGGCTGGTCTAGTGGAGAGCCTCTCAAGCTCTGAGGTGTTCAGGGTTGTGAAAAGTCAGAGCGGACAGGTCCGGGGCAACCAGAATCTGAGGCCATGCCTCACTGTTCCCCCAAATCTCCTTACCGTGTGGCAGCCAGCATGGATGAGAAAGTGCCCCATGGTTTTGTTTTTTTTTTTCTTACTCTATCCAGTTCTCCCTGTTGAAGCAAATTTTTTAACACCTTTGGTGAAAAACTTCCTGCCTGGATTTGGGCCTCTGATGCCCTTTGGTGTGTGGTGAGTGGTGTGTGTGTGTGGGGGGGGGGGGGTGTGTGTGTGTGTGTGTGCGCGCGCACGCCTAGTGTGTGTGTGTGGTGAGTGGCGTGTGTGTGTGGTGAGTGGCGTGTGTGTGTGGTGAGTGGCGTGTGTGTGTGGTGAGTGGCGTGTGTGTGTGGTGAGTGGCGTGTGTGTGTGGTGAGTGGCGTGTGTGTGTGGTGAGTGGCGTGTGTGTGTGGTGAGTGGCGTGTGTGTGTGGTGAGTGGTGTGTGTGTGTGTGTGTGCGCGCGCGCGCAAGCCTAGGGACCATCCCTAGGGGCCTGGCATATGAGGAGGAGCGCCCTGTGTGCTGGGTGGTGGCAAGGTGTGGGGTCCACGTTGTAAGGTTCCCTGGGCAAGCCTCCCAGCCTGGCTCCCCGGATTCTTTACTTCCACCCCGGAATCCACATCTTACAAGCCCTCCCTAGGGGGAAATAACGAAACTCCAGTTAGCCCCATGAACCGCTTCTCATTCCACAGCACAGTTCTGATTGTTGAGGTGTCGCACTGTTCCAGATCCCCCTCGCCTGTCTCCCCCTCTCCCCTTCCTGTCGTCCCAGTCCTTCCTCTGGTCCCCGGCTCAGTTCAGGGAAATTCTGGTTCACGTCAGCCCTCTGCTGTCTGAGCACAGCTCCTCTCAGAGCTACTTGAAACTTCCTGCTCTCGCTAGGATTGGAGTCTGTCTGTCTCTTCCCTCTGCCCTGGCTCAGACTTCTGGAACCATCTCCTGGGCGTGGCTGTTGAGGATGCTGGGGTGTTCTGGGGTGGGGAGGGGGCAGAGAGGGAGGAGTGCCCCTCTCCTCTTACTGTTGCCCTCCCCTCCTGGGGGCGCATGCCCTCTCTGGGTCTTCTGGTTGTGCACGTTTTTGTGACCTTGTAAATATGTTGTAGAGAGAAAGCAAAAGGCGCTGAACTAGACCCTGGTGGGACTCAGGGGTCCAGCATTGCCCTGTCTCTGAAGCCCCTACGCTGCTTTTCACCCCACTCTCTGGGACCGAGACACCTGCCCCCTGCAAAGTTAGACCAAGCAGCTTGTGCCCAGTGGGCTGAAGGCCTCCAAGTCACTTCTTGTCAGACAAGGTGCAGGTTTCCTTGTGAGCAGGGTTACAGGGTGGTCCTTCCTCAGCTCCTTGGATGTGTGCCCTTGACCAAGCTGTCTGCCAGCTGGCCCCTCCCATGTCCCTCTTCTCAGTGTCCTCTCTCTGTCCTGTCCCCACTCCCCTGGCTTAGGCAGGCAGCGGGATTCGGGCTGTGTTGGAAAGAGCTCGACCAAATTTTCAGAGAAGTTTCTTGCCTGGCCCTGGAGCTGCCCTTGGCTACCCCAGGCCTCCTTACCCACTGGTGCTGGGAGAGACGGGCATGTCTAAGATGGGGCAGGTTGGAGTTGGAGCAAACAAATGTGCCTTGAGAGACCACTCAGAGAGGGTTCAGGGCGATGGGGAAGGAGGTGTGGGAGCTCAGGAAGGAGGAGGAGGGAGGTGAAACTGATGAGAGTGTGAGGGGGTGTGACTGCCCCCCGTTGTCCCCCCGAGGCTGTGGCCACATGTGGCCAATGGTCACACTTCTGTCCTCACACCAGCCTGCCTGGTTTTAGTGGGCAGGCCACCCACTCACCTCTCATGAGCTCCATCTGCTTTCAACTTCACCTGAGTGGGTGGGGGTCCATTGGGATCAACATGGGAACCCTCCATTTCACCAAAGCCTCCCCCGCAGCCCTTGGGGAGAATGAGTGGCTAATCCACCAACCCCCGGCATCATCGTGAGGCTGTGGGCTGGCAGGGGTCAAAGGGAAGAGACACCGGGGGTGCCAAAGGAGACTCGAGACATCCGAGGAAGTCCCAAGCAGAGCAAATTGCTTTATAGCCTGAAGCCTCCTTAAACTGTGTTACGTGCAATAACTGAGCTTAGAGTTAAGAATTGTGTTCAAGTGCTTGGATTTCCGTCTGTATATTTAAGTGCTGAAATCGTATCTCTCAGTAATTTTAGATGTCTTAAAAAAAAAATCGAAAAACAAAGTGTTAGACTGTGTCTGTGCATTGATGGGCACTCAAGCGTCCCGTGGGTCACCCCACCCTCTTCCTCTCCCCTGTGCCCCCCCTCCCCTCACATTCACCCCTGCCCCCCGCCTCCACTTGGAGACCCCGCCTCGTGTTGTCTTTATCTGCCTATTAACTCAGCCTAAGGAAACAAGTACACTCCACACATGCATAAAGGAAATCAAATGTTATTTTTAAGAAAACAAAATAAAAACTTTATAAACACCACCTACTGGCACTAGTATGATTATTCTCCCCCTTGGTGTCATTTTTCACAAAACACGGTCCCAGGCTTGTGGTCAGCACGCTTCCCTTATTCACCTTCATATGTTAGACCTCCGAGAGGGTGCGGCTGCGAGGAGAGGCCTGATTTACTGAGGGGAGGACCAGAAGCAACTTAGAAACATTTTTGGTATTATTGCAAATATATATGCAATGTATATTTGTAGATAGGCCAATAAATACATCTGTATCACAAAACAGAGATCAAACTCTGTGTCCTGCTTTTTTTATTCAGCCTAATATGAACCTTTCTCTATGTCATTAAAATTATTTGAAGACATGACTTAAAAAAATTGTATTGGGCTTCCCTGGTGGCGCAGTGGTTGAGAGTCCGCCTGCTGATGCAGGGGACATGGGTTCGTGCCCCAGTCCGGGAAGATCCCACATGCCACAGAGCGGCTGGGCCCGTGAGCCATGGCCGCTGAGCCTGCGTGTCCGGAGCCTGTGCTCTGCAGCGGGAGGGGCCGCAACGGTGAGAGGCCCACGTACCGCAAAAAAAAAAAAAAAATTGTATTGAAATATAGTTGATTTACAATGTTGTGTTAGTTTCAGGTGTACAGCACAGTGATTCAGTTATATATATAGATCCTCTTCCATTATAGGTTATTACAAGATATTGAGTATTGTTGCCTGTGCTACACAGTAGATCCTTGTTACTTATCTATTTTATATATAGTAGTATATATATTTTAATCCCAAACTCCTAATTTATCCCTCTCCCCCATCCCAACATGACTCTAATAGTTGCAGAGTATTCCACAATATGGAGGGACTCTAATGAATTTAACCATTTCCCTATTTTTGGATATATCTATTGTTTCCAATTTCTTGATACTCTCAACTCTAGCCCTAGAACTTGCTAACCGTGACCTTGGTCAAGTTATCTGCAGATGAGAAGAAATCGTCTCACAAGGATCACGTAGAAGTGCTTTCTCAACAGTGAAAACCCTGCATAAATGTCTGGTTATGCC